GATTAGGTAGGTATTCCTCAATTTATAATTTCTTGTTTTCCTCCTCTAAAGGGAGTCATAAAAATAGAAGTATGAACACCAAAAGTAATACATTTTTTACATGAAGTTTTGTTGTTGTTTATTGGAAAGGCAGGGAAAGATCCTCATTCCACTAGTTCACTCCCAAGTGGCCATAACAGCCAGAGCTGAGCTCATTTGATCCAAAGCCAGAAACCTCCTCTGGGCCTCTGACATGGGTGCAGGTTCCCAAACCCTTAGGCCATCCTGCACTGCCCTCCCAGGATACAGGCAGGAAATGAATAGGGAAATGCAGCAGCCAGCACAAGAACCAGCGCCCATATGGGATCCAAGCATGTGCAAAGCAAGATTCAGCCACTGATCCATTGTGTTGGGCCCTAAAAGTAATGTATTTTAAAGGAATATTTTTTAGCATAACCCAAGAAATGTGAACAAACTTGTGGTTTGGATGTTTGATGTTACATTTCACATTCATGCTTTTCATTGCTCTTGTGTGATAACTGATGTATTTGCAGTTCAATTTTAGGTGACTGTATAAGTAAAACACAAAGAAAGAGCATTTGTTTTTCTCACTGCAAGCTGAAGTTGTATGAAATGGAAAAGCGGCTTTTGTTTTTGTTTTTAGAAAGTCAGATTTATAGAGAGGAGACAGAGAGAGAAAAGATTTTTTTATCCACTGGATCACTCCTCAAGTGGCCACAATGGCCAGAGCTGAGCCAATCTGAAGCCAGGAGCCAGGAGCCTCCTCCAGGTCTCCCATGTAGGTGCAGGGTCCCAAGGCTTTGGGCCATCCTTGACTGCCTCCCCAAGCCACAAGCAGGGAGCTTGAATGGAAGTGGAGCATCCAGAACACAAACCAGTACCTGTATGCGATCCGGGTGCTTGCAAGGCAAGTACTTTATCCACTAGGCCACCGTGCCAGGCCCTGAAAGGTTTACCTTTGAAAGCTCTGCTTGCAAGGCTGCCCTTCGTGTGGCATCTGAGAAGCTGAATTGCTGAAGGGTTCTACTCATCCACTGACAGGAGTAGCTTACCATCCCTGACTGCCTGTACTATGTAGTTTGTGCTCAATACTTGCTGTCCTGTTGGAGTTCTGGAACTTTGGTCAAGCAAGACAGAGTATACCACGACCCATCTCTACCAAAATCCTGGGCATGAGTTCCTAACGATTTTCTTTAGTAGACATTCCCCTTGTGTTAACATAATTCATTTCTAGAGAAGTTAAACATTCATCACTCCGAAGGGAGAAGACTGGCAAGCCTGGAATTGCCTTCCTCCAGATTTCCCTCCACGTGCCATCAGTTACAAATCTCAAACACGGGTATTTAGTATACGCTGATACCCAACACAGGGATCAGTAATTGTCTCACCATGCCCAGACGTTTGGTGATCATCTTAATCTTTTCGTCCTTCCCCAGTAGTTCTTGTGTCTTACTCGAGGGAATAGGCAAAGCGTATCGTAAAAGGGATTCTCCTGCTGGTGGACATCTTAAGACCATGGGTTCAGCTTTGTCACACACTAGTTTTCTATTACGTCGCTCTTTCAGTCTATGTGACAAGGGTGACTTAAGCAGCCCTTTTTGATACATCAGTTGCGGAACATTTGCCCAGGTAGAACTTGCGGACATTATGTGCTTGGACGGCTTCATTTCCCTGTGGACTTAGCTTCCAAGTTGCACATGAAAAATCGAAGTCCTCCCTGCAAATAAAACATAAGAGAAAAAACAAAATTTGACTAATAAAGATATTTTAATCAAATTCATGCACTACACTTGCTTTTATTTTTCTGAGGCAGCGTTCTGAGCAGCTTGCACAGAGTACATCCACCAACCTCTGGAATCCACAATTATAATTTTGGTACATCAGAGGTAAAATCCTTAGGTAAAATAAAGAATATAGTTAACAAAGTTCAATTTACATCAAAAAGTCACTTAATTCCAAATAGCAAAAAATAAAATGTTATTGTTTTTAAGATAATACACATAATTATCACCATCAAATATGTGTGTAAAGTGAAATCAGAATGACAAGCTGACTATTACAAATCTACTAAATTCTGAATTCGTAGTTCTAAAACAGGCTACATTTGAGCCAGTTGAATCTGGCTACAATTCCTGCTTCTTTTCTATGTCATTTGCTCTCCATATTGGAAAAAAAATGTTTTTTTTAAAGCTAAAGCATGTATGGCATTTCATTACGTGAATGAGGAAACAGATGAAGATGTCTGATTTAAAATGATAGAAGGGTGGGGCACTGTGATGCAGCAGGTCAAGTTAATATAAGGGACACACACTGCTCTTATCTCAGCAGCACCAGCACCTCTGCTTCTGACTGAACTTCCTGCAAATGCATCTTGAGAAGCAGGTAATGATGGCTCAGGTGACTGTGCCCCTAGTGCTGACGTGGGAGATCCAGATGGAGAGTCGGCATTCTAGTTTCCGCCTGGCTCAGCCCTGGCTACTGCAGGAGCCTGCAGAGTGAATCAGTGGTTTTTAGATTCCTCTCCAGCCTTTCAGGTAGACTAAAAAACAAACAAAACAAAAAATTTTCTTAATTGATGGAAAGATGACTAATTAATAATGTCAACTCTGTAGAAGTTACAAAATGGAGAAGGCAAACATTCCTAACAAGTCACAAATTTTGTGTTGAGAAAACCCTCAGCAAAAATGAAATGTGTATGGGGCAATTGGGGAAAAGGCAGTGTCAACAGTGCAAGAGTGTACTTTTAATTCTGATTAAAATTCTGCTTATTTGAAAGGCACAGTTGAGGGAGGAGAAAGGGGACAGGGAGGGAGAGAGGGAGAGAGAGAAAGAGAGAGAATGAATGGTCTATCTGCTTGTTCACACTGCAAATGGTTATACTGAGTAAGGCTGGGTGAGGTTAAAGCCAGGCACTTCAGCTCGGTCTCCCACACGGGTGACCAGCCACTTAGACTGTCTTCTGCTGCTTTCTCGGGGAATATTCATAGAGAGCTGGACTGGAAATGGAACAACCAGGACTCACCTGGGCACCCATATAGAATAAGGTGACATAGGTAACAGCTTTACCTGCAAGCCACAATGCCAACCCTTCATCCTCATCTTTTCCACATAATCCCAAAAGTACATGCCCTTTACACCACGATTCCTATGGAAAAATGGCCTGGTCTTGGAACACGACAGGGTACATCCAAGGCAACCTCATGTGCAGGCCACACTCAAGTTATACAGGACTAAAGATTGTGAAAACCATTAAAAGGAACACAAACGTAGACCCAGATGTATAAATTACAAAATCTACACATGGCTTGGGTCCTGGGGTCTACCTACTAGGTGGATTTGGGGTTCGTGAGCCCCAGGGTTGGGGGATCCAGCAGGGCTTGGGTAGCCTGGCCCAGGTCCTTGGGCCCACCTGCAAGAACTTAGTGAAAAAGGTGGAGCAGTGGACACAGACTCTCCTGATGTAAAAGGAGAATTGGCAGCTCATTTGGTGCCAATGCAGAAGAACTTTGAACCCCAAACAATGACAGCAGTGAACGGAGACTCGAGGCTGACCATGTCAGCAATGAATATTGGCAGGGTGGCAGCATCCTTGGACTGGTGAAATCAACAGCATTTCAGAACTATCCAAACCACTTGGGCAGAACCCTCGCAACATGCACACATCTGGACCCTGAGTTGATACAAGGTGGCAGTTCCTCATCCCTGGGTACTGGGCCATTTGGAAAGGTGCATGTGGCTTTCCTCTCTCTCGCCCCTTCCCCTAAAGAAGAAACAGCAAACTTGGAAACAATGAGTTCACTCAATTTTCCCTAAACCTGAATCCTTCTAAATCATATCAACAAAATAACCATTATAAAAAATAAAGTAATTATAAAAGTTGACATTAAACATCATCACATGAGATTAACAAATCAAACAGTACAGAATGAATTGCACGTGGTCACAGGATAATGTACTGTCCAAACTGAAACACACAAAGACACTAAAACAATGAACCGAATAGGAGGTTTTGTTTATATATCAAGCAAAAGTGTATCTGGAGTGTCCAGCAAAGGACAGCAGTGAAACATTCGAATAAATAATGAGTTTTTCCAAATTTGCTGAAAAACATATATTCTCAGCTCCTTGGCCTTAAAGAATACACAGAAAACTAATAAATACACATATTAACAGAGGTGATCCAACAACAAAGCAAAATCCATGGCTTGTAGATTTTGACATAAATGGATAAGCCTCTTCGGAGAGTTACAGAAAGGTTTAAGAGGACTATAAGACAAGGTAATTGCCCCCCTTGCCCTCCTAGCCACCCCAGGAGCTGGGCTCTAGCACTATCCACCAGCCAGGTGCATCACCACTGCCACCCTTCACGCCTTAACCTGACAGCAAGTCAAGTCCTTCAGTGGGGACACAAAACAGCACAGGATGAGTCAGAAAACGCCCACAACACTCTCCAAATTTTCCACCAGGGGCGGCAGAGTCATCACTGAGAGAAAAGTATACCCCAGGTGGGAGCTGAGCCATCTCTCAAGGGGGAACCCTCTAGGCAAGCAATGGCTCATCAGGTCAGAGACAAGCTGTCCCAGAGGGGGAAGCCTCACCCCTCAACCTGAGGGAGTCCCTGATTCCCCCAAGGGGAAGCCTCACCCTGAGCCCTGAGGGGGACGCCTCACTCCGCCTTGCGCCTTCCTGAGGGGGAATCTCACCCCAAGCCTTCTTGAGGGAGTGCCTGACTCCTCCTTGGTGGGGAGTCTCAGCCTCACCCCAAGCCTTCCCTAGGGATTCTGTCACTCCTGGGAGGGGGTGAGCACCCTATCCGAGGGGGAAGCCTCACCCTACACCTCGGGGTGTCCCTCTCCAGGCGGCCAGGAGCTGGGGACTGTTCGGTGCGCTCGAGTCGAAGGTGAAAACCTGCTTACCTGATGTTGGAAGTCCTGCATCTGCTGGGCTTCAAAACAGACGCCTGCCCTCCGCATACAGCTAGCCAGCCCTCTACCAACACATTATTGCTGAAAACGGGCGCCCAGGTCCCGGAAGACCTCGGGGAGCGCTCCCACACAGGTGGTCGCTTCCGGGGCGTCACAGACGGAGATGACGTCACAGACATCACAGACGCGGGCAGCTTCCGACGTCAAATGCAGCGAATCTGTTTTCTGTTTCATAAATATAATTCCAAAAAGATAATTATATTGATCTGAATAAAACAGGGAGCCCGTGTTTTGGAGGAAGACTAAAGAACCTCCGTCTATTCCTCGTGTACGAGAATACCCTCTAAAGTGAAACAACATGGAGAATTATTTTATGCAAAAGCAAAATTAGTTTCATGCTGCAGGCAGTGTTTGTGCATTGTTGTTTCACAGTTCACATCAGTTTTTAATTAATTTATATAAAGTGAATACATCCATATGTTTCACAATAAACTTAGAGAAGCATAGTGAAACCTCCCACTAACTCCTCTCTCCTTTCCTACACTTTCATTTCATTTTACAGTAGTCAGGCAGACACAGAGAGAGATCCTGACTGCTGGTTTACTCACCAGATGCACATGAAACCCTAGGGTTGGGCCAATCCAAGCTCTCCTATAATTTACATTAGCATGAAGCTGCATCTGGATTATCGCCGCAAGGACTTGAACCAGGCACTCAGCTATGGAAGGTAGGCATCCTGACTGCATCTTAACTGCTTGCTGTGTTAATGCCCATTCCTACTTTAGTTTCTCAGTGTGGTATTAGAGGTCATAGATTTGATTTCTCTCTTTTCCAATATTGTTGTTACCATTTGTAAATGCTGTAACTTCTCCCCTGCATGCTTACTTTTGATGGGATTCCATAAGGTCTGATAAGGTATATAAGTAGCCAAATCCTGAGCTAGAAATCTTGAAAGATAATATGGGTGTCCATATCACTTGATAAACTTGCTGTGCTGCCATACATGCCACATTAGTTCCTAGCTTTAACTTAATCTAATATGGTACAAGAATCTGGGTAGGGAACCAGCTTCTGAGAGTACTCTGTCTTCATGCTCTCTATCCTGGCCTCTAAAATAAAAATACACAACAAGATGGCACCAGCATCCTTGGCTAAGCATCCACCATCAGTGCTGTCATCCCATATGGGTGCTGCTTCAGTTGGGCTGCTCCGCTTACAATCCAGCTCCCTGCTAATGGCTAGAAAAGAAGAAAGAATCGTCCAAGTCCTTGAACACCTGTGCTTATGTTGGAGGGCTAGGATAAACTCCAAGCTCTTAACTAGCACCAGCTTACTTCAGCTAGTGAGGACAGTCAGGGAGGAAAACACCAGATGGAAGATCCCTCTCTGTCTCTGCTTCTTTCTCTGTAATGCTGCTTTTCAAATAAAAATGGATTTTAACAGAATGTTTATTTCAAAAAAAAAAAAAAAGAAAGAAAGAAAGAAAAAAAGCCCAGTCCTCTCTGGACTTCTCCTTAATGCCTTTAACAGTTTCAATCCAAAGTCACTGCAAATTTGATGCTTCTATAGAGATTCACCCACAGTGGACACTGCATATGGTGAAGATGGGATCTAGGTGTCCCCAGGATCAATCAAGAGCCTCATCACACTTACAGGTCCTGGGTCCATTCTTCTCAGCACCACTCAGCCGGAGCATGGTTCTGGCAACAGGCAACTGAGCACAGAAAAAGCAGACATGTCATCTGCTGGCAGTCAGCAGGAAGTGGAGGTCTGTGTTCTCAGTTGCAATTGCCTGGAGTGCAGTCCACACTTGACCTGGTCATGACGGGAGAGGGAGGAACCAGTTCTATGGTCAAATAACACAAAGTCTTCCTGCCTTGATCAAATCTTGAATTTTCTTCAAATATGTTTTATACAGAAGGGAATTACCAGAAAATATTGTAACTGTGAATGTTTCCAAATGTCTTAGGTTCCTTTAGAAAAGAATGCACATGGACACAGGAAACACCACATGAGGGTACAGGAAGATGGAGGCTGTGAGTCGGCCAGGGAGTGACCTCAGCAGAAACCAAATCTAATACCACCTTGCTCTTAAACTTTCAATTATTAGAAACACAATAAATGAATTAGCTTGATCAAGACAGACATTCTTCAGTATATTTTTATGGCAACCGGAGCACACTCTTGGTTTCAACTCTATTTGTTATTGCCAATGAGAAAGAACCCACCATCAGAGCAATATAGAAACCAAAGGTTATGATTTTACATGCCTAACACTTAAAAGAACAACGGCAACAACAAAAAGTCAAATAAGCAACTTAAGTACTGATCTCAAAGTCCAAGAAAAGAAAAGAATCTAGGAGTAGTAAAGGTAAATTAAAAATAAAGATTGGTGAAGAAATGAATAAACTATATTAAACAATACTGAGGACAATTGAAACGTTGATTTAAAAAAAAAAAAAAACAAAATTAGTAAACCTTTCTCTAGATTCGGAAAAAGTAGGCCCCTACATGGTAAACTAGCAACTAAATTCCTCACCTTGTAAGCACCAAGATACCATACGGGCACTGGTTCTAATCCTGGCAGCCCCACTTCTCATCCATCTCCCTGCTTGTGGGCTGGGAAAGCAGTCAAGGATGGCCCAAAGTTTTGGGAACCTGCACACGTGTGGGAGACCCAGTAGAGGCTCCTGGTTTTGGATCAGTGCTGCTTAGGCCACTGTGGCTGCTTGGGGAGTGAATCAAAGGAGGGGAGATCTACCTCTCTGTCTCTCCTCCTTATTGTATATCTGATTTTCCAATAAAAATAAATCGTGGAATGGTTGCAGTGGCCTAGCGGCAAAAGTCCTCACCTGAGCCTGCCGGGATCCCACATAGATGCCAGTTCGAATCCTGGCAACCCACTTCCTATGCAATTCCCGGCTTGTGACATGGGAAAGCAGTTGAGGAAAGCCCAGAGCCTTGGGATCCTGCACCTGTCTGGGAGACCCAGAAGAGGTCAGGGCTCCTAACTTTAGATTGGCACAGCATGGGGCATTTCAGTCACTTGGGAAGTGAATCATGAGAAGGAAGATATTTCTCTCTCTCTCTTGTATTCTCTCTTTCTCTGTCTAAATATATATCTGATTAAACAAATCTTTAAGATAAATCTAAAATAAGAAAGAAAAAAGGTAGAAAAGTGATTATTACTGTCCGAGAAGAGTGACCTGGGGAAAGGAAGGAGGTAGAACAGGTAGCAAAGAAAGTGAGACAGAAGGAACAAGATCCAGTGTCCCATCCCAGTGTGTGGTGACTACAGTTGACAATAGGATATGCAGGGAACTGGAACGGAACATGCTGCATAATGAAAAAGCAAAGGTAGATGAAAGCCTGGGCACCTGGTTTACTCAGCTTAGGCTGTATATGTACACAAATACTGCATTGTACCATGCGACAGTATTCAAGTATGTGTTGATTAAAATTCAGTAGAAGTTTTAAAAACCTGAATCATTCCTTCACAGTAACAATATCTAATAAATTTAAACAGTCCCAACCTCACTGTATAAAATAAACTTAGCACTTTAAATTCTCTATTGAATTTTTGTTTTGTAAAGTATTTATTCATTTTCACTGGAAATTCAGATTTACAGAGAGGAGACCAGAGAGAAACATCTCCCATCCACTGGCTCACTACCCACGTGGTCACAACAGCCGGAGTTGAGCTGATCTGAAGCCAGGAGCCAAGAGCTTCTTCTGGGTCTCTCATGCACATGCAGGGTCTCAAGACTTTGGGCTGTCCTCTACTTTTTCTCAGGTCACAAGCAGAGAGCTGGATAGTAATTGGAGCAGTTGGGACAAGAACTTGTGCCCTTATGGGATCATGACACATGCAACATTAGGACCATAGCAACCAGGCTATCATGCTAGTTCTTTCTTTTCCAAGAAAATGTAATCTTAATTTTACTTTTTTCTTACCTTATATTATCATTTTATGATAATCTCCATCGTCCCTGGGATTTTCCTTACCCCCTCCTTTTTAACTAATTAAAAACAATTTACTTATTTGCTTAAATGTGAAAATCACACAGCAAGAGTCAAAGACAGACTGAGACCTTCCCTCCTCTTGTTTACTCCCCATGTGGCCACAAGAGGCAGCAAGGTCCAGGCCAAAACCAGCAGCCTGAACTCCATTCTGATCCTCCTCATGGTGCAGGTGTCCAAGGAACTGGGACATTTTATTCTATTTTCCCAGCACATTAGCAGAGAACTATATCAGAAAATGAACATCACACTACAACTGATGTCTCACACATTCTTTTAAACAAACAATAGAGAAATTAATCAAAACGTACAATGTGATTTTGGATGTCAGGTCATTCAAAAAAAGTGTTTGACACCAAATGATGGTATAAACATTCACTTCTCCATTTGATATCTTCTAACACATAAATCTTTATTCAAATGATACTACCAAATATGAACAGAATTGTTGCTCTTGATACTAAGTATAAAGAATGACAAAAATTACAAAAAGGATAAATGAAAACAGTTGGGACTATTCCTAAGCTTCTCAAGAAACTGGGAGTATACCTGAATTTCTAAAGAAATGAGACAGTCGGGCCGGGCGCGGTGATGCAAGTGGTTAAGGTCCTCGCCTTGCACTGATATTCACCAATAACATAAAACATTCCCTCTCAACCTCTCTGTACATACATATGTATATTCAGTAGAGAGTCTGTCAGATAAGAAAACACTTTGAACCAAAGGGCTCAAAATGCAATGGCAGAGGGCCCAGCGAGGTGACCTAAAACTAAAGTCCTCAGCTTGAATGCTCAAGTATTCCATATGGGCACCGGTTCTAATCCCCACAGCTTCACTTCCCAGTCAACACCTTGCTTGTGGCCTGGGAAAGCAGTGGAGGATGGCTCACAGCCTTGGGACACTGGACCATGTGGGAGACCCAGAAGCGTTCGTGGGCCCCAGCTATGGATCGGCAAAGCACCAGCACTTATGGTCATGTGGAAAGTGAATCATCGGATGGAAGATCTTCTCTGTCTCTCCTCCTCCATGTATATCTTACTTTGCAATAAGAATAAAATACTTCTTAATGCAATGGGAGAACAGTTACATATGTTTGTCCCTTGTGGTAGATGTGCACATCACTATCCACCATGACTGGAGACTTTCAGGGAAGTTCTCAAACAAAAGCTTCGACATAATCTGAATCTTTACTAATGCTCCACCAGCCTCACCACCACAGTTGGTGTGCTCCTCTAAGTGTTTCATCTCTTTTGTTTTTAACATTTATTCATTTTTATTATAAAGACAGATATACAGAGAGGAGGAGAGAGAGAGAAGATCTTCTGTTCGATGATTCACTCCGCAAGTGACCACAAAGGCCTGAGCTGTCCCGATCCGGGGCTGGGCCAGGAACCTCTTCCAGTTCTCACACATGGGTTCAGGGTTCATGTTCCCAAGGCTATACAGAGGAGAGGAGAAGCAGAGAGAACGATTTTCCTGCCACTGTTTCACTTTCCAAGTGGCCACAATGGCTGGAGCTGTGCCAGTCTGAAGCCAGGAGCCAGGAGCCTTTCCAGTCTCCACGTGGATATTGGGTCTCAAAGCTTTGGGCCATCCTCAACAGCTGCCCAGCCACAAGCAGGGCGATGGATGGGAAGCAGGGTTGCTGGGATGAGAATTGGTGCTCATTGGGATCCCCATGTGTACAAGGCAAGGACCTAGGCCACTAGGCTACTGCCCTGGGCCCTGTTTTAAAACATCTTATTCCTAAGTATTTCAGAAAATCCTCTCCTGATCTCATGGAAGATTACAAGTTTTATGAAGAATTGTGTTAATATTCCTGAAATTGATTATTTCTATGGCATTTCTTTCTTAATGACTTTCACTACTTTAGTTTGGGACTTATTTATTGGAAAGACAGATTTACACAGAGATGGAGAGACAGAGAGAAAAGGCTTGAATCTGCTCGTTCCCTTCACAAGTGGACACAATAGCCAGAACCGAGTTGATCTGAAGCCAGGAGCCTCATCCAGGTATTCCATGTGTGTGCAGGCTCCCAAGGCTTTGGGCCATCATCTACTGCCTTCCCAGGCCACAGCAGGGAGCTAGATGGGAAGTGGAGCGGCTGGGACATGAACTGATAAACATATAGGATCCCAGCAATGCAAGCCAAGGATTTAGCCACTGAACCATCATGCCAGACCCCTATTGTTTGATAATTTTGTTGATGGATTGCCACAATGGCTGGTTCTAAGTACCCGCAAGGAAACACAAACTTGAGACTATAATTGGATCCCCACCTACTGTGCTGCTTTATGTGACATGTTCTGTATTTCTTCCTGTGTCTTAGAAACTTATATGAGCCTTGTCTGCCTCCTCATGTCTTGAGCCCTGTATGCCTGTAGCTAGGCCTGGATTTGTATATCTTGGATCTTGTTTCAGGGGCTATATGTTATCTGCTTTTCAACACCTCACATGAATGCAACCTGTGTTCATCCTTGCAGTTTGTCATTATAGATATCTATTATTTGTGCCTGGCATGGTAGCCTAGTGACTAAAAGTCATTGTCTGAAACTAACAAGGATCCCATTTGAGCAATTTTTCTTGTCCTGGTGGCCCCATTTCCCATACAGCTCCCCGCTTGTGGCCTGGGAAATCAGTGGAAGATGGTACAAAGCCTTGGAAATCTTACCAGCACTGGAAACCTGGAAGAAG